TAGTGATAATATGTGAGAGGAACAGCTCTGCAGACACCAAGATCAGGGTAGAAGGAGGGGGAGGAGGTGCTTCAGGCACTGGAGCTAAGATTGCCCTGCAGCCCGTGGTGTAGGCCATGGTGAGGCAACTATGCCCCTTGCAGCCCACAGAGGACCATGCAGCCCACAGAGGACCATCCACCTGCAGCCTGTGTAGGAGATCCATGCCAGAGCAGGTGGATGCATTCAAAGGAGGCTGTCACACCACGAGAAATCTGTGCTGGAACAAGGTCCTGGCAGAGACCTGCAGACTCACAGAGAGAGGAGCCCACACTACAGAAGGTTTGCTGGCAGGACTTGTGACCCCATGGGGGACCCACACAGGAGCACCTCATTACTGAAGGACTGCACCCCGTGGAAGGCACCCACGGTCATGCAGCTTGTGAAGAATTGTAGCCCGTGGGATGAACTCACACTGGAGAAGTTCATGGAGGACTGTCTTCCCTGGGAAAGACCCCACGTTGAAGCAGGGGAAGGACTCCTTTCTCTGAGGAGAAAGCAGCAGCAGAAACATGCAATGGAGTAACCTCCACTCCCTGAGCTGCTGGGCAGGAGGAGGTAGAGAATCAGAAACAAAGCCTGGGAAGAAGGGAGGGGTGGAGGAAGGTGCTTTTAAGATTTGTTTTATTTCTCATTATCCTGTTCTGATTTTGGTTGGTAATAAATTCAACTAATTTCCCCAAGTCAAGTCTGTCTTGCTCATGACAGTAATTGGTGAGTGATCTCTCCCTGTTCTTATCTCGACCCACAAGCCTTTTGTTACATTTTTTCTCCCCTTTCCAGTTGCAGAGAGGAGTGATAGAGCATGTTTAGTGGGTTTAGTGGGTACCTGGCATCCAGCCAGGGTGGAACTACCACATGGACAGAGACAGTTTAAGCAGCTCCAGCATCAGCATCTTAATCCTAGCCCTCCTGGCATTCTTTCTTTTGTGACAGTGCAACCATTTGGACAGCTAGATACCAAGAGCAAGACTGTCCCCAGTGCCCCTAAAAAGCAAAAAATCCCAGAACAAGACAAGAAAACGCTGAACTCTTCTTTTGGTTTTGTCCATTTTTCTGTTTTCCCAGTCAGCTGAATATCCTGATCTGGCTCACCACACATATGTGCATGTGCTTCCATCAATACACAGGAGAGGAACAACAAACCACGATGTGGAAAGTGGCAGTAAATGCCAGTCTACACACTGCTAGATCAAACTTAAAACTTCAATTTTTCTTTTGAGAGGACTGTCACTGTTCACTTTTTTATGTTTGTGTTGCTTTTTTAAATTGATAGCTAAAATGGCAACCACAATTCAAAAAAACCCACAAAACTACTGTAGACTGAAAAGTACTGGTTAACAAGAGAAAGACAAACGATTTACTTAGTTTTATCTTCTTCACTATCAGAAACATAATGTAGAAGCATCTTTGAGAGTTTCCAAAAGGAAACTCTTTTCCTCTATTTCCAAAGGACATCAGACTCCAAAAGGCTAAAGCCACTGCATTTCTCAAATATCTTTGTTCATCTTGATTGCTTTGCTTAGAAACAAACTTGAACGTTAATTTTAGGCACCAGAATGACAAGCCATCATGTGTTTTCCAAGTCAGAGGGGAAAGGGAATTGTACTGAAAATAAACACATTACCAAAGAAGAATCTGCTGAACATTAAGAAAGCAGATAATGCAGTAACAAAACACAGTACAGGGTATTGTAAGAAAATAAACAAATTGTCTACAAGAAGCCCAGCAATCACAGTCCTAAATCATTTGTGGATATGAAAAAGTAACTGATACCCAAGTCAACACAAACAGCTTTAAGTAATGCTTCTGAAAAGATTTTTCAGCCTCAGAGTTTCAATAAACACCTAAATTTGAGTTATTCCTGCATGATCTCAGCAGAACAGTACTAATCAGGGAAAAAAGAGGACCTCAAGTGGCAGAAGGTGGCAGCTGCAGATTATTTGAACTCCTTTTCAAACCACTATTCACTAAACAGTTCAGGTCATTTTAATTGCAGTGTCCCAAGGACTCATACTATGCTCCCCGTTGAAGTGAAAAGGTCTGTTCTCCTACACTTGCTCCTCAAACATACTATTCTGGCCCCAAATGTTCTTTTGTAACACCCTGGAAACAAATGTCATTTTACATAGATGAGGAAAAAATCATTTTAGGGCTGTTGATGGCTGATATTTTAAACCCTACATTTGATTTATAAGGTCTTTTTCAACTTCAGTTTGAAACTTTAACTTGTCTTCATTCATCATTAGGCAACTCTAAACAGCCAGGCTTAAGACAACAGCTTAGAATTTCGGCCTGAACTCTAGAGATGCATCAGAACAACCAGCACCTCTCTCTGAGCCACAAAGCTCCCTCACAGTCAGCAGAGGACTCTGAACATTCGCAGTGTTCTGTTTCTTGGAGACAGGTGGGAACTGGTTACCTGCACACTTAAGCTGTAACAACTTGTTTCAGTAACATAACTCCAGTTGGAAACCAAAGGGTGTGTCTAACTTTCTCCCAGCTTGTAGCTGTGACACTGTTTCTGAAAATGGGAAATAACAATTTCAGGTGTTTCTTAGCCCAAGAGGTTTGAAATGCAGCTCCCAGACTTCAGAGTGCTCTGTGGCAACACCAAAGCCACTGCTCCTCAAGGTAAGCTTACAATACAAATAGAAATGCCTGAGCCAAGACCCCAAAGCAGGAATATATATATATGTAAGAGAGAACTTGAGTCTTCACCCTGCTGAAGAATACAGTACAATTACTCTCAGAAGTTGCTCTTACGCATGTTACGTAGAGTCCTTCTTTTTTATTTTGAGATACACACTGGTAGGCTCCTGATGTACAGCTGTCTCTTCCTGTACATTCCTAGAAACTTAATTGACCTGCACAGAATATCAGAGGATAAGATTAGGAGTACATATTGTTTATACAGATAAGAATACGTATTTATATACATAGAATACATATTATTTAGAAGTCAGATATATGTAATCTAGTCCTTTTACCACCAGAAAAAGTTCAAACTTATAGAAAATA